TAACAACCATATTCCTCATTTTGTGGTTACATTATTTTTTTGAATAATATTAGATAGTGTGCTCAAATTTGCCACAATACAAATACAATCTTTTTTGATGACAATGAGTCTTTTTTTGTTCAATAAGAGGTATGAAACATATTGTATCAATTTGCATATCTTCCATTTTTAAATGTATGTGTTGAAAAGATATTAGTATTGTCATTTAATTATAAAAAAGTTGAAGCTTACTTCTACAACTTTCACATCAAAATTGAAATGCCAATTGTTATATTTCATTGCAAAGTTGATTGCTTGATTTTATATTTTAGGATCAAGTAAGTTGAACATCAAATTTTTTACTTCATATTATAATCCATAGAAGAATTTGCTAATAAGTCTAGTATTATTTGAGTTGATATTAATCACAAGTTATTAAAATTATAAAATACATAATGTCATTGATTAATTGTTTTATTATAAAATACAAATCTTGTTGTTGTAATACAAATTACATCATGTTCTCTATACATAGATCAAAACTTTGTTAAAAAAGCCTCTAAATTATCTAATATTAGATTATATCATTAAAAAAAAAGATAAAAATTAAAAAAAAGTAGAATTTGAAAGTAGTATTTTAATAAACCTAACTTGTAATCTTGGAATATGATAGCTTTGAGATTGAAGTTCAATTACTAATTATACTATATTAATAAATCTTCAAAATTTTAATCTTGTGACATCAAACTTCTTAAGCAAGGCAACTCTTGGTTCTCTTATACTTGAACGATGTTCCACTATGGGAGAAATAACATGATTTGGTATAGATGTTGAAGCAGCTTCAATCATTTCTATATCTTTACTTTCTACCAATCTTATTACTAATTGTACTAGTAAATTGAATTCATACATTGCAAGCATTAATTCCTACAATTCTTCTTGTATTTGTATCATTACACTTTTTATTTCAATAAGCTCTATTATAATAATGTAATAAAAAATAGATGTACAATATTGCTTAAGACGAGTAGAAGAGAAGGCTTGAAATCAAAAAAAAATACTAAGAATGAAATCAGTTTAGAATTCGATAATTTAAAACTTCTAATATGCTTATATTTTATTAAGAAAAAATAATAATCTATTCTTAATTAAGAAAAGATACAACTTTGATATTATAAATATATTCTTGTTAATTTTTTAAGGACAAGAATCTAAAGAAGATACATAAATAAGTAAAATATATATAAAAAAGAAGCAAAAAAATCATAATAAGAAAGTAAATTTATTCAAGAAGAAAATTGAATGGCTATTGCCAAAGACTAAAATCTAAAGATATTTGAAACTAGACTAGCAAAAAAAAAATCAAAAAAAGTGAAAAAAGCCTCACTCTTATTTTTGTATACTATGTAACCAAGAGCTATATAGTGACGTTCTATAGAACCTCCAACATATGTCCAACTTGTATGATATAGATCTAACTTGTAAAAAAAAAAAAATTAAACGTGTGCTACATGAATAACTTATACCACAAGCTACCAACACATATAATACAAAGCTAATTTTTTGATCAAGTTTCTAATCCACTAATCAACTACAAACACATTTAAAGCCAAAGCCTTATTAATGAAGCTTCTAAGAACCTTTTCTATAAGATATTATCAAATTTATTTATTTTTATCTACTTTTACTCATTCATATTATCTAAATAGTTATTGGAATAAATATAGATGTCTATGATACCAACACCAAAAAAAAATGTCATAATCAATGAAATTTGTACATTATATAAAGCTATGCAAATAAAGAGTGTGCATCTTGAGACATACGAATTATTTTTGTAATATAGTATTTTATAAAAAAAAAAAACATAAAATATGTATATACTATAATCAATTTTCCAAATAAATATAAATATTTTTTTATTTGTGCAACAATCAAAAAAATATAGCTTGCTTAATTAAATCATTGCTTCTTTATATGTTAATAAATTAATTTTTCACCACCTTCACACAAGCTAGTTTAAAATGTAGGTAACCAATTATATATAGCTACCATATATTTCTTTATAAATGAGATGTACTTATAGAGACTTATGACATAGTTAAATTTTGGATAGAATAAGTACATACATTGTGTCTTTGTCCTTGGCAATTCTTATAATGATAAAAATTTGCTCTTGCTTCAATAACTTCCAACTATGAAGCTTTTGATTGTATAAAAGATTTGTGTATCTTGTATAATTAGAGGCTCTACATTGTTGATCTTTTAATCAATTGATTATTAGATTTTTTAATTATACAATTATAGATGCTAGCTTCAATATTTGAACTTGTACTCTTTCTTGTTGGTCAAGAGCTAGTAATTCAAAAATTCAACCAATAGCATTAAAGATAGTATAAAGATCTTTGCAACTTACAAATATATTTTGTAATAATAAAGGAAGTAGTAGACTAATAGTATTTATTAAATAATATTAAGTATAAAAATTGGCCATTTACAAAATATCTCTAGTACATTGTATATTTTCAATTTTATACTTAGATATTATTTTTCATGTCTTTGTTAATGTACTTGTGCAAGAATTAACATCAAAAACCACTATTGCACACTTAAATTTTTCAAAAATGAGATTGAATATATACATTAATATATATTTAATAATATTTTTTTTAAAAATGATATATTAATAACATACAAAAATTATTTTGACTTTCTTATGCATTAATTTCTCTTGTTGTATTTTCAAAAAAATATAATAAAAAAATTTGTACTTCTTGTAAGTCTTTGGTGGAAATCCTTAGATATAATTTCAAAGCCAAATGCTGATCTTCAACTCAACAAGTAGTAATACTTCCAAAATACAGATAATAATTTATTCAAGCTTTAACAAAATATTTTTTCTTTTGGTATCTAAGAGTTTCACAAAATAACAAAATGTTTTTTTTGGTATCTAAGAGATGATGAAGGTCCATGGTTGTCCTAACTATTTTGCACTATTGAATGCCATTATTTAGTACCTTATATATACTTCACATGCAATGCAAAAAAACATCCAATCAATCGGTTGGTTATATTTTGTTGACAAATGAGATTCATTTGTCAAATATAAACTTATCTCTTATGACATTTAAAATTAATGCAATCTTTGTCAAATATGTGCTTACAAACTATATATCCATAACTATATGCAAACTCATCTATCCTCGCTTTCATGTCTTTAAAACAATCAAAAATACCCTCAAGTGGAAGAGACATAAAAGACATAGTATCTATTACAAAATCTAAATAATCTTAAATTACACCTCTTTCTCACCCTTTGAACACTAAAAAGACATAGTATCCATTACAAAATCTAAATAATCTTAAATTACACCTTTTTTTCACCCTTTGAATACTAAATATAATATCAAACAAATTATGCTAATAAAATATAAAGTGAGGAGTATATTAGCTTCATGTATAATATAAAAGGTAGAAAAAAGTTATGATATTATTAAATATGTCCATTGATAAGAATTTTTTTTTATTAGCTATATGACCATTATTGTACCAATTTCATTTTAAAAAAACCATTATTATATCAATCCAAAAGCGGATTAGAGTAATAATGATGCAAATAAGGCTAACAGACTATATGTTTTGTGATGATGGATAGATTGATTCAATAAAACCTTAGGTCACTTTAACATTTTTTTTTATATATATATATATATATACATTTTTCAAAAATTTATCTTTAAAGTATTTATCTAGATATATTTCAAAAAAAATATAAAATAAAAAATAAAAAAATTTTAATTTTACATTATATAATTTTGTATTGAATCATTTAAATCTATCAAAATGATATTGTCTTTAACAACATCAATTTGTCTAATACAAGACTATCTACTTTCTTTTCAACAACTATTTTTAATTATTGAATTTTTAAAGTTTAAAATCTATACTTAAAAGCTCAAAACCCTCAATCTAATATGTAATTATCTACAAATTTGATACAATTGGAATTATCAAAAGTAGCATTTCTTCTAGATTGCCCAAAAAAATATAAAATAATAGATCAAACTTCTATCTTTAAGGGTAATTTACTTAATTTTTACAAATAATTAATTCTAGTTACATAATAAAGATGATTGTAATTTAATCTTTTAACAATAAAAGCTTTTTCTTTTCTTTTCTTTTATATAAAATAAACCTATTAGTAATATATATATATATATATATATATATATATAAGAGAATATTAAATAAATCTAATTTTTACTATATCAATCTACATATGATGATGAATATGGTAATAATGATGAACATTGTTGATTTTCATTGGTTTTGAATGCAACAATGGAGAAATGAATCTTGATGGCTTATTTTTTATTATTATTATTTTTATTTTCATGATGGTTAGGATGGGTGGATCAATTTAGTAAAAGCTCATGTCTATTTAACATTCACATGTATGTATGTATGTATGTATGTATAAAGAAAATATGAAAAAGAGAAAGAAAAAAAGAAAAAAGAAAACGAGACACATATACACATTGTAGTAAAACAGTATTTTGATTATAAGAAGTTAATCTTCTGAGCCTTTTTCTCCTAGACTCTACATATGTATCTGGGTGATGTATTCCAATGACGGAAACATGTTAAATTATTCGGATTATTAGAGAATAATATTTACATGAAAGTACGTCCTTGTCATTCAACAAGAGGTACTCCAGCATTAACTGCCTGTAGCATGCATTCGTCAAACAAGGTTCAGATGCAGATCCTAAAACATACCTTAGGATGACATGCAATTTTTGTTAGTAAACCTTTAATACGCTAGCAAGTGCAAAACCACAATAAGTTAGAGTAGAATTCAAGGAAACAAGACAAAATGAGCAGGCAAGGAGCCACGTCGTACCTCGTACGCTCTGCAGCAAGATAATGAGATTGAAATGGAACAATCCTAGCATCCAACAACTAAATAAAACAGAAGGCTAGTTATTCAAAAGCCAAGAAAAAAAATTGCTTGAACGGTATTGAGTAGAAAGCAGGAAAACTGCATTATATATCAAAGACCTTTCACAACAGTATGAAAGTAACATTTCATTAAAAGTTGTAATCAGTTGATCATAGATTCCTCTAAAATCTCAAACCTAGCATACAATCTAGGCAGGTTTGCTCTTAGGGTCAAACAAGATGCGAGATTACATGTGTCCACCACTTGACCAAGTTACTGCTTCAATAGGGAGATGGGAGTATAAATTACATATGTACAAATATTCGTAAATTTGAGCATCTTATGACCACCAGCTTGAAAAAAGGTAACTAATACCTTTGCATTGCTCTTGCTTGACAACAAACTTCTCTTCTGAGGGCACTAGACATGTTGCCATCTCATTACTCTTCACCGTGGTCATGTTACGCTCATCCGTTACCTCTGTCTTTGTCTCATTTTTGTTATCGCTGCTTCCATCGCTAGTATTGCTATGATCTTCACTTTCATTTGCCATCCCTATCACCTTTAAATGCGCATTCATGCAGTCCGAAGCAGTAATGGTACTCCCGCAATTGGCGAAGAGACTGGGGTGTGAAGACACCGCCATATCATCTTTTGGGATCACATCCGGAAATTCAGATGTAATTGAGCACACATAGGCTGCACTCTCATGGTTGTCGGCTGCGTTCAGTAAGGGTAAGGAATTATCTGTACAGGGAGCAATACCTGAAACAAGCTCTTGGCCTGATGATGGTGATTTCGTGAAATTAGTTGAACCATCGGTAGAAGTATTTACCAATATTAGAGAAGACGTTACTTTCAACTCTGACGCCGGGTCTTCACTAGACCCAACCGATTTCATTTCTGGAGCTGGAGAGCCAGAGGTACCGAGAGTTGATGGAACCACCTTATCATCATCACTGCGTAAAATTTCTCGGAGATTTGATGGAGTTGGACATACCGAGGCTGCATGTTCATGCTGATCGATTCCGCTTACTGAGGGCGAGTCAGCACTTGCACTAAGAGTTTCACATGAAGCAAGCTCTGGGCTTGACGCCACTGATTCCCTAGGATCAGCTACACACTCTTCTAAAGTATGCACAGGCATTAGACCTGAAATTCTCAGCCCTGAAGCCGAATCTTCCCAAGATCCTGCTAGTTCCACTGTTGAAACTTGAGATGTGCATGGCAATTTTGAGCGATTACCACAGACTTCAGGATTTAACTCGTCGACTCTTGAGTCAACATTTGCAGCCTGAGATGTGCCATGCGTTGTTGCATCGTTGGCACAGGCTTCTGAATTTCGCTCCTCAACTCTTAGATCAGTACCTGCAGCTTGAAGAGTTTCTAATAATGCCGCATCATTAAAACAAGCTTCTGGACTTAACTTCTCAATTTTAGAATCAATATTTAAAGCTTGAGATGTGCCTTGCGATGTTGCATCATTGGCACAGGCTTCTGTATTTCGCTCCTCATCTCTTAGATCAATACCTGCAGCTTGAGGAGTTTCTACTAATGTCGCATCATTAACACAAGCTTCTAAGCTTGACTCATCAACTTTAAAATCAACATTTGCAGCTTGAGATGTGCCTTGCGATGTTGCATCATTGGCACAGGCTTCTGTATTTCGCTCCTCAACTCTTAGATCAAAATCTGCAGCTTGAGGAGTTTCTAGTAATGCCGCACCATCAACACAAGCTTCTGGACTTAACTTCTCAATTTCAGAATCAACATCTGCAGTTTTTAAAGCATTGTCTTTTTGCAAATTTGCATCCATTACGAAATTCTCCACTCGCGGTGTACAGTCAATCCTAGTCACATGCATTAAAATGTATTGTTGGGCGAAAGCTTCAGTAAATAAATTTTGTAAAACTAAGGACAAAAGCATAAATTAATGTTTAGATAGTGTATTTGGAAGTCAACTCAATTCATATATCAGACTATGTCATGAGCAAACAACAATTGATCCACAAAGAGTGAAGTGTGAACTACGAAATGCAAAATACCTTGATTTGGAGATTTCCAATCTCCGGGCTATTTCATGTTCATGAGCAACTTTAAGTCGTCTGATGTCTTCATCTACACGCACCATAGCTGCCTCCAAAATCACTTCTCGTTCCCGAAGCTTTCCGAGCTCCAGACGACATCTATGCGCTTCTTTTGAGGCGGTCTCTTCAACTTTCAATGAAGCTGCTCGTCGTGCATCAGCATCCCTGACCTGTAAACCAAAAACAACGTTACATGATCTGCAGCACGAATAGCATACAACTGGAAACAAAGATGACGGACTCGCTAAGACACACCGTTTCGAAATCGGGTGCCCCTTATCACTAGAGCAGTATAAAAGACATAGAAATGAACAAAAAATCCTTGAAATGATCAATAATAACATCTATATTAACTTGTTCTTAGAAAATGAAGCTAGGATTAAGTGAACAGTTGAAGCCAAGATTTGAACGCATCTGCTTCTAGAACTACAAATATATTACCCGTTTAACTGCATGTAAGAGTTGCCTGCGTAAGCGATCGACCTCTGACAGAGCCTCATTGCATCCCTTGTTTACTATGTGAACCGAAGAAGCTGCAGATTCAGCCGCTTCAGCCGTCTCGGTAAGACGTTCTGCCAACTCCTTTATTATTATATCCCGTGACTTCAGATCACTTGCAAGTTGATGAATCTCCTCGGCTTTAACCTTTATTGTTTCCTGAGCACAAAAGTAAGAACAAGATACGTGTGGTGGTTACTGTGAAATACAGAAATTAAGATAACAAACAAGCGTTGTTAATGAATTTAGCTGCTTGAAGGGTTTAGTGCCACAATAACTATGATCTGCAGTGTCAGATGAATTTGAACTAGCCTAGTCTAGCCAACTAATGCGCGACGCTCCATACGTTCCTCAGCGGAGCTCAACGATCTGGTACTGCAACTTAAACATACAACCGTAGGCAAAGCGTACAAGGGTTGGCAATTGGGAATACCCTTATCAGATCAGAGCTATCCATATCAGGAGCTGGAATGGGATTCTTGAAGGAGGCCGAAGCAGATAAGACAGCAGCTGAGATGGGGCTTTTGAAGGAAGCTGAAGGAGACAATGCAGCAGCTTTCATCGACAACTGCAAATTTAGGGCTGCTTCGCTAGTAATATCAATGGCAGCAGCGAACACGGAGGCCACATTTTCCAATTTGCAGAATGCATTGCCGCTCAAAAAGTTTGCTGCTTGTTTATGTGCTTTCAGTACAGATACTGCAGCCCTGTGATTCAACTCCACTATTTCAGATGTCTTGGTGGATTTGAACTTCCAAACTTGACTGGGAAAGAGAATACTTCCAAAAAATGAACATCAACACTGCAATTCTATACACAAGATATTAATTAATCACAAACACAAAAAAAAAAAAAAAAAAAAAAAAAAAAACGCTACAACTAAATGAGGAGTCGTGTTTGAGTGTGATTTAGGATTACTTAGGCCAGGTACAGTTTTCCCACCTCAATGTCGCTACCCAAGCTTCTGCAGCTTTTGGAGTCTCAGCACAAAAGAAGTACTCTTTTTCTCGAGATGTTATGATATCTGGGCCGTTAAAGATGTAAGTTTACACCAGCATTTTGTAGGGTATTGCGGTATCTCAACTTTTATAACGCCAATCCCAGGAAAAAGTAGACCACCTTCTAGAAAGAGTGAATGAAAAAGTGTGAACTTCCTTTTTAGACTCTCGAAGACAACAGCCTAAAATTTCCTACAATATTAGAATTAACTGCATCTGAACAATGTGCCACCAAACCTATCAAGACTCGAACTCTTTCACATATATAGAACTTAACCAGTAACAAACAATAATTGCATAGAGGATACAGAAACAGCAAGCATCATACTTTGCCTCTTTCCTACACAAAAGTCATAATTCCCATACTGTCAGTGACCCAACCAGACAAACTCCAACGCAACACGTCTCCCTGCATGTACGATACATTCTTAACCGGAACAAAAAGAAGTTAAAAAGCTGATGGTTCCAAAGCTTATACAAAATTACGATCCTCAGAACTCAACATTCCAGAAATAGTCACGCATCCTACGACCTGATAAAACGTAGACCTAAGGGGCTCAATTATCATATTTTATAATTGCGCTTAAGTAAACGAAACTTACAACATATTTTTAGGAGAAATCGTAACTGAGCTGTTGGCATCAAAGTTCACCGCTCCCTTGGGACTTGCATCTCCTCTGTGAGACCTGCTCAGCAAAAGTCATTGTGGCACCAGAGAAGTTAACAACAGAATGTAACACATTTAAAAGAGCCATAGAGAAATCTATAGGTGTAGCCTTTGTCAAAGTCATGTGATGGACCAAATAAAACGGACAATTTCGCAGATGAAGAAGTCAAAGGACGTATCTGCGAATTGGAAATGTATATAGTAACACAAGAATACAACGCAAATTGCACAATAAGCACCCTCTGGTCGCGTGCACATGAGTTCTCACCAGTATTCAAGTTTTCCCGTTAAAACATCCAGAACAAACCATCTCCATTCCCACTTGCGAATCTGCATTAACAACAGACATATATAAAGTAGGCTCCTATCAGTTCCTCTACAGCATTGAGCAATCAGAGACGAAGTCATACGTCAAGATAAGTGGCCACTTGCTTTACACTTATGAGTTACCGATTAACATAATGGCAGGCGACGCATAAAAATAGTCACGAGCTTCCCAACAACTTGATGAACTTACAATTTCAGAGCGCTTGAGAAGGGGTCCTTGTAGAAGCACATTACCCGCTCTACAACTATTTAATTGCTTCTTGATCTTCTCAAGACTGCTAGTTATATCGATCGGCCCTTTCGACTCCACCTTCATGGACCCATCACATAGGAATAAGAAAAGCTGACGGGGCGCACAAAAGACCATAATCATACACAAGAAGCGAGAGAGCAGTAAAATAATCGCAGTTGGGTCAACGAAGAGTTTGTTTGAGTTGGAAACTAAGAACCTCGGGATCCATGATGTGTCTATTGCAACTTGAATTCCAGAAATCATCCGGATCCTAAAAATATTACAAAGCACGTTAAGCTGGAGATCATTGCAAGTAACGAACGACGCAGACATTTTTTTCCACGTCGCAAAGGAGCTCTGAGGAATCATTAAATGCAAAGGAGGAGATGTCAAAATTCTTAAGACTTGAGAAAGTCATGATTGTTCTGAGCTGGCGCTAAGGTTGATCCCACTGACCTTAAGTAATTAAGGATGTTTTTATCGTATTGCTATTAGCTGTTCTGAACATGATTGATAGCTTCCTGAGGAATACTTCCAGACATCTGCGGCCCCAATTTTTTTCTTTAAAATCCTGCAATCAGCAACATCCGTGGAGACGATTATTATCATTTAGGAAAACCTCGGCTAATTTCTGAGCCAGAAATCAAATCCGGGACAGGGCCGTGACTATGGATGCAAAACCTGATGAAGGAAATCAGCTACAGTGAGACCCAATCCAGAACCCAAGACAACAACTCCAGACTTTTACACCACCATATCATCGACACCCACCTAAGTATGCTAAATTCTAGAATGCGCACACAAAAGTTCATAAAATTCATTCATCAGACAGAGGAAGTAACTACTGCGAAACGATCCTCACAAACCCCAGGATCCAACCACAACTCCAACCTATTCTGCGATGTCAAGCGCTTCCAAATGCATTCTGCCTCGTTGAGCATCAATCAATCATAATCCTACTACAGCAACTAATACCCTAGACAAATCAAATAAAATAAAAGCAATCACCTTCATTAGCAATCCCAAGCAACCACCTAAACAGAACTACCTACCAAATCCTCCGCAACTCTTAAGAAACAAAAACCATGCCAACCCCGCCTCACTCCCGCTCTACCCGCACACATCCGGAATTCCGCCGAGTTCCGAAGAACGCCTCCAGATCAAGCTGAAACACGAGCAATTCATGCAAAAAGACGTGAGGGGGAGGGGGGGGGACTCAGTTTCAGCTCAACATCTTCGAATTCAGCGCTGAACTAAGAAAAATGGCGATGAAAGGTATGTCGCATACGGCTATTGCCAATTATTGCCGATACGTAGATGTCAGAGCCCCTTTGTGCCGAGTTGGCTTCCCGCAATGGCCTTGTCGGTAAAACTCTCGAGGAGCGGACCGCGTCGTCGAAACAAGCGCTTCTTCTAATTTGGATTGCCTAGGATCCAAACCCTAATTTAGAAGAAATTCATTCCGCAGTTCGAAAGCTATTTCTAAAAATAAAAATAAAAAAGTTGATGGGATTACTTTATGTGCTTGTTTCGAGATTCTATGGAAAAAAGCCAAATAAAATGTTATGATTCTTAAAAGTTGTAAACATTTGCATTGTTCTTTCAATAAATATGAAATAAAGTTTAAAAGACAAATTCCTTCTTTAAAATCTAATTCCTATTTTAATTTTTATGAAATATTAATAAACAAGGTTGTGGTTGGTTGTTTTACTTATTCTGAAAGGAACCTCCCAGAATACCTGTATAGGGGAATTCGAACACGGGGAGTGACTAGTTGCTTGAGCGTTCACGTTAGGGTCACACAATTAATTACCTCCAATTGTCAAGGACAAAGACTCGATGAGGGAAAATATACACCAAAAGGCTATCTCGATATAATAAGTCAAAATATAAACAAGTAGGTATATTAAAAGGAAACTGGAATGGCTATTGCCACAAGATAAGAAACTAAAGACTCTTGAACCTGGACTAGAAGCAAGAAAGGAGTTGACAAGAGTGAAGAAGCCTTCACTCTTGTCTCTATATATACTATCTAACTAGGGGCTACGTGGCGACGTTCAATAGGACCTCCAATATGTGTTGACTTTGTAGGATACATGCCTTGACTTACAAGGCAAGTTTTTCTACGTGTGGGCCACATAGTTAGCTTGATCTTCAAGCTAACAACATGTGTGGCACATGGCCAACTTGTTGACCACGTTTCTAATCCAAAAAGTCAATTAAAGACACCTATGAAGTCAAAGCAGTGTCTAAGAAGTTTCTAGGAAGCTTCTATATTAAATACTATAGAATTAACTTACTTTTATCTACTTTTACTTACTTCTACCTATTTCTATATGTAATTATTAGCTTACATGATTATGGCCGTGACATTACCCCCCCTTCTAGAGACGAGTTCCACGAGGAGCGGTCATCATATGTTGAGGAAATCTATGATGCGACGAATTGTATTCGCTACATACTCTGATCTCTGTTCTCTTCGAAGATGATTGATAGGGCCTCTCAACCATCGGTAGTGTCCCATACTAGGGCGGGAAGACCACCCAATTATTTGATCATTGTTGAGGCCTTCGTAACTTCCTTCGAATAGAATATTCGGAACACCATCAGGAGTTGTTCCTACCTCTAGCAAAATCACCAAACATCGAGAGTCCCTTCCCAAATTGTGATACCAAACGCGTTGTATCTCACCATCTGTTCGAGGAAGAACATGTCGTTCTTGAAGATCTTCATCTCGATTGCGTCGTCTTGAAGGTTGTGACAATCATAATGTCTCGTCCGGCAGGTCAGCAAACGAAGGTTCTTGAGTTGAATCCGTTGGTTGTTGGCTCTCCATCTAATTAGCATCACAAATGCAAAGAAGTTACAAACAAGGATAGGAAATTGAATGTTATCTTGCCTCAATCTTGTCTCTTTTATAAGAGAGATTTTCATCTTGGTTTTAATGGATGTCGTTGATGAAAAACTTTCACTTTAGCTGATGCATTTCCTAGATTCCTGGATGGCTCCTATGTGCGTTCACTAATATCATATCCGTGCCAATGAACAAGATATTCCAGCTTATTTCGGCGCCGCCTTGAGTCTAATATCTCTTCCATCTCAAATTCTTCATTATTATCTACTTCTATAGGAGGCGGTGGCATTTGTCTTCTTCCTTGTATATCCACTGTCTTATATGGTTCAAGAAGAGACACGTGGAATACAGGATGGATCTTCACTGACTCCGGTAGATGTAACCGATATGCAACTGGGTTGATTTGTTCAGAAACAGAAAAGGGGCCAAGCCTACGATAGTCCAACTTGTCATAAGGTCGAGTAGTCTTGATATTGCGACGAAGTAGCCATACCTTATCACCCACGTTGATTTGTGGTTGCTCCTTACGATATAGATCTGCGTTTATCTTTTGTCGTTCTTGAGCTTCCTTCAATTGCGTCTTCATTATTGCATGTAACTCTGACAACCGATTTGCCATATCTTCTGCTGTAGGATTATCAACTTTTGAAAAATCAAAAGTATCAAGTCGTGGATGATAGCCATAATTGGCAAAGAAAGGTGTTTGTTGCGTGGAAGAATGTACCGTATTATTATAAGCAAACTCTGCCAATGGCAGAAGGGTTGTCCAATCATCTTGTTGGTAGTTGATAGTACACCTTAAATATTGCTCCAAGACTTGGTTTACGCGCTCTGTTTGTCCATCAGTTTGAGGATGGAAAGCCAAAGATAGCTTTATGTCCACTTTTAAAATCTTGAAAAGGGTCCTCTAAAATCTTGACACAAATTGAGTTCCCCTATCTGATATGATATCTTTAGGTAATCCATAATAGCGATAGATATTATCAATGAAAAGCTTAGCTGTTTCTTCACCTATGATAGATTTTGTACATGGCACAAAATGTGCCATCTTGGTGAAACGATCTACTATCACAAATATAGAATCATAAGATCTTGAGCTTAGAAGATCTGTGATGAAATCCATAGAAACAGAAGACCATGGTTGTTCTAGTATAGGTAATGGCTGAAGAAGTCCGTAAGGTCGATGACGAGGAATTTTTGATCTTGAACAAATATCACATGATTGTACAAAGTCTTTGACTGACTTCCACATTTGTGGCCACCAAAAATCTCTTGATATGAGTTCCAAAGTCTTATTATATCCAAAGTGCCCTGCTGCTGGAAAGTCATGACGTGCTTGAAGAACACGTAAACGTGCTTCTCCTTCTGGAACATATAGGCGTCCTTCAAAATATAATAGATTATTCTTGAATTCGAACTTAGAAGGATCATGAGACTTGGAAGAATTATTCTCGATATCATAAACAAGAGGGTCTGAGGACATACTGGACTGGATTTGCTTGAGAAAAGTTGAATCAACAGTCAATGTTGATTTCATTGCTCGGAGATGAAATTGCTCCGGTTTCAAGAGGACCGTTCTTTGTTGCTCAAAAGCTGCATCTCCTTCTTTTGGTGCAAAATAAGAACGTCTAGATAGGGCATCAGACAAACCTTGTTGTTTTCCTGATCGATAAGTGATAATGAACTCAAATCTTGAGAAAGACATACTCCAACGAGCTTGACGACGATTCAACACGCGTGCTGACATGAAATACTCGAGGTTCTTGTGATCTGTATACACAGTGACTGGACTAGAAGCGCCTTCTAGATAATGACGCCATTCTTGAAAGGAATCCACGATTGCAAGAAGTTCTTTATCGTAGATCTCATAATTGATCTCGGCTACTGAGAATTTTCTTGAATGAAAAGCTATCGGATGAAGTTTGTCATCTGTTCCCATTTGTGATAAAACTGCACCCAAGGCAAAATCTGATGCATCTGTTTCCATAAAAAATGCCTTGGAAAAATCAACACGATATAAGACTGGTGCAGAGACAAACGATGTCTTCAAGGCTTCAAATGCTGCTTTCGCTTCTTGATTCCATTGGAATTTATCTTTACTAGTCAAGCGTGTAAGTGGAGCTGCAACTCGTGAGAAATCTTTGATGAAGATCTGATAGTAATTGGCAAATCCCAAGAAACATTGGACATCTCTTACTGTCCTTGGAATCTTCCAATCCATGATTGTTTGGACTTTCTTAGAATCCATCATGAGACCATCATTTGAAATGATGTATCCTAAAAAGTCAACTTGAGTAGTGTGAAATACACACTTTTCCATCTTGGCGTACAATCCTGCATCTCTAAGTTTTTGTAATACTTGACGAACATGTATTTCATGTTCTTCGATGTTCTTAGAATAGATCAGGATATCGTCTAGATAGCAGACGACAAAATTGTCTAAGAATTCACGAAATACATCATTCATGAGATGTTGAAAAGCAGCTGGTGCATTCGTGAGTCCAAAGGGCATGACATTATATTCGAAATGTCCATACCTTGTTCGAAACGCAGTCTTCCATTCATCTCCTTCTTTGATCTGTACTAGATTATATGCTCCTCTTAGATCTATTTTTGTATAGATCTTAGCTTGATTCAACTGGTCAAGGAGTCCTGATATCAAAGGTAATGGATACATGTTCTTGATTGTGATCTTGTTGAGTCCTCGATAATCAACACACATTCGTAAAGATCCATCTTTTTTCTTTACGAATAGAATTGGAGCTCCTGCTGGAGATTTTGAATGGCGTATGAAATTCTTTGCTAAATTCTCGTCAATATATGTCTTGAGTTCAGCCATCTCATCTTGCGATAAACTGTAAATTGGTCCAAATGGTGGCTGAGTTCCTTCCTTGAGGTCGATTGAACAATCATATGGACGATGCTCAGGAAGAATATCTGCATTCTTTTTCTCAAAAACGTCTTGATACTCCTGATATTGACTTGGAATGCCAATTGAAGTCTTTACGTTTTCAGAAATAGGTGCAGCATAAATAGCAAAAGTTGATCCTTCTTTTGCTGCGTGTATAAATGCTTTTGCACCTATCAGTACGGGTTTTACTATACTAGACTTATAATTTTTTACTTGGTTGGTAGAACTATTAATAACGCTTTGGGAAAAGTCAAGTTTACGCAAATTCCAATCTATTCGAGGGTTATATTTTTCTAGCCAGGATAAACCTAAAATAATTGGATTGGACGGGGATTTAATTATGTTAAAAGCTATGTAGCTATCATGACCGTCTATTGTTACTTTTATAGGATGAGTTTCATGAGTGACATCTCCAGAAGACAAGGGACGACCATCTATGACTTCTACATGTACTGGTTTAGGTTTCTGTACAAAGGGTATTTTACGACTTTTAAC